AGGCTTTGTGTTTGTGTGTCATGGTTATTAACATTAATGAATGTGTTTGCAGGTTAAGATACAGAGCTGGATTGATGGGAAGGAAGATGAAGAGTACAATGGTATGAGTGCAAAATTTGGCTCTTATTTGCCTGTCGAAGCTGTTCAAACTGCCAAACTTCCCGCTGTTTTTGCCGATCCTATGGACTGCTGTTCCGCTTCAACCGTAAAGGTTTATTTCTCATTTCCTTCCTTCATATCATGCATCCACTGTTTTCCCCAACTTTATTCGTTTTCTTACACCGCGCGTCTTCATATTTCAAAATCTGTCCGTAACATGTCAGCTTCCTCAATAGTGTGCTTCTGCGTTCTCGATTTTGCAGTTATCTGGATCAGCAGCTCTCTGCGTACGAGGAACTTGTGACTTCTCAGCTAAAGCTGTAGTTGCACAGACCGGAGGTGCTGCTGCCGTGTTTATGATAAACGACGCAGATGGTATATTCAAGCGCTTCAAACACATGGTTTCCATTTTACGTTTAATCTGAATAAATAAAGTATATTAGACGTATATGAGGTGTCATTTGTCAGCCTGGTAACCTCCCCACTTATTTGTCAGCTTGGTTGCTCACACTCTTCTTCTTTAGACTGAAGTCTCTTCGTGCATGCTGTACAGCGTACTCAGAATCTAAGCATGGGGTTTAATAAAGAGTAGCAAGGTTAAATCTGGGCTGTTAAGCATAGTTTGAATTCCGACTGCCAACTATTGTCACTTTCTTGGGATCTGGATAAAGATTTTAAGTTTAAACTGATGTATATTAATGCATTTTTTCCAGGAAAGCTGTTATGAAGGGATAAGGTGTTGCTTTGTTTTTTGTACTTGAAAATAGGCAAATAGCTCAATTTTATAAAATATTGGAACATAATAGACTGTCACTAAACAACAAAGTGAAATATCATTGGACTACTTTTGGCAATTTAGATACATTAAATGGTAGTGCTTTGTATGAGAGGAATTATGTTACATGCTGAAATTGGATTCTTCTTAGATATATAAAAACATTAATGAGCCTTCACATGACACCTCTAGATTTTAGATTGATCATATTTTCCACTGACAATAGCCCAGAATTAAATCATGTAGTTTATCAGAACAGTCTGCATTGTTTTTCCTAATGTTACTTGCCATTAGTCTTATTAAATATTGGTTCACATAATAAACTGTACAAAAGAGGATGATCACTGATCATGTTTTTTTTCTAATGCTATTTCAAAACTGCGGAGATGAGAAAGGGAACAGGGCAATACCTTAGCAGTAAAAGGAAATCCAATCTCATTGCACATCTGAAGCCTGTATCGGAGTTCACAATGAAACTATGATAACAAGCATCGTTGCATTATTTTTGTTTTTATTAAATCCGTAGAGGTTATTACATATAGGAAAAAGGATCCCCTAATTGTGTTAGCATTACAATTACAGTTCACTAACTTAAACTTACCTTTACTGCTTTTTTTTTCTTTCTATGTTATTTTCCGCTTTTAAACCGTTTAAGTAAATAAAGTTTTATATGATCCTCTTTGACTGAGATTTACCTGTTTATTTTATGTCAGAACTCTTTGAGATGGACTGCTCCAGTGACCAAAGCGTAAATCTTTCAATTCCAGTTGTGCAGACAACAAAGTCAGTAGGAGACGCTCTCAACAAACTTTTAACATCTAAAAAGAAAGGTCTGTCTTCGATTTCTTAAACTTCTATTTGTAGTTTGTTTACCACTACTGCTTTTGTGAAAGAGCTTTGTATTTACTTCTCTATTTCATTTTGTCGTACATGTCTAAGATGCATGTAATGATAATATAATAGGGGACCAGAGATAAACTAGCAAGTTAAAATCTAACATTGAGCACTCTAGATAAGCTATTTTCTAGCACATATAATCCTAATAATAAGTAAACAACTAAGTAGAGAGGAAAAGAATTGCATGTTTATTGCGTGTATTACGTTCTCTAATCTCTCTTTTATATGGTAAGCTATTGTGCCTTGAAAGGGAAAAAAGAAAAATAAGAAGAAAAAAATGTGCAGATTCACTGTGATATTTATCTATGATATTTATAACTCTCTTCCTCAAAAGTTAGTAAATGAATATCATCAATTTACCTGCAAATTCTTGAAATCTAGCAATAGGAAGTCCATTAGTGAAGACCTTCGCCACTTGGAGTCCTCCATACCAACATGTGTTGTAAGTTGTAACTACAATGCCTTTGTCCAATTTCTCTTTGATGAAGGGTACGTGAATCTTTATGTGTTTTGTCTTGTAACAAGGTAGACTGAATTTGTTGTCACAAAATCATTTCGGAATTTGCCCGTATTTAAGTGATGATGTCTGAGTAGTGAGTTGAAAGAAACAAAATTTTGTTCCTTTTATACGGCAAAAGAAATAGAAAAATAACGAATAAGCTTAGTTGAACGACTTATATACAACAATAGAATATAATAAATTAAAAAATATTTAAAGAAATAATATAATATTTATAAGATTAAAATAACTTTGTTGATAGTGGAACCTGGCGCTAGGAAGCCTCAGAGTCGAGACATCTATCTCTTGGAACCTTAGAGTCATATGTATTGTAACAATAGTGCCTCCATCCAACGTCTATTTGATGAAGTGTTTGGTATCAATTATTTCTAAGTGTTTTGTTCTGTCAGGAGTGGATTATGATTAAAGCTGACAACGGAGTTGTTGTCACTAAACAATTTCATAACACCCTCATATTTAACTTTGAGGTAATCGAGGATAATCTTCATTCCTAATCCTTTGAAATTCTGAAGAATTTATTTATTCACAATTTTAGTGAGATAGTATATAAATGGTCATTATAATGTTGTAATTAAGGATATAATATAAAGTTATCTATTCACAGACTGCTCGTTAATAAAGATATGATTATAGTCGAATAATTAAAATGTTATCTGTTAACTTTATAAAAAAAGTGTTTTATAAACTTTTGCTGAAAATAGTTTAATCAAATACATTTATAAAATTTTCTTTTTCTTAAAATAGAAACTACAAAGTCAAACTAAACATGTCTTTTAAACCTAAAAGTATGAAATGAAAATAGGAAATGTTTCCGAAACCAAACGGCCCCTTACTCGTCTTGGTCCTGGAACATGATTCAAAGGGCTAACTAAAGGTGTCAAGAAGGGTCCCCGGACGGTCAATATCCTCCTGACTGAAAGTTTTACTATTTTGTTCCGGTTGAGACAAAGAGCGCCCTTCTGCTCTGTTTTCCTTACCAAAAGTTGTATGATTCGCCCACTTCTAAATAGATCCCTTGGTTTCCCCATTTGGTCATGAACTTTCTCCCTTCCATGAAACTGGTAGCAAGTGTCGTGTTGCAATCAATTACACTTGAGTACTGTTTCATACCAAGACACAGACTTTTTTTTATGTTGCCTAACATGCACTTCGGTGATGAATTAATTAATTAAACATTCGGTAAATAGTAAAATACCCAACTTTTAGCACTGCAAAGCGTTATTTATATACATATGCTCATTTATTCGCACAAATGCATTAAATAAGATAAAAGAAAAATATTATTGCATTATCAACGTCAAGTGCATTTCTTCTGCTACATGCCCAGTTTGTTTCGCACAATTTACTGATGGTTGATTCTGAGTTGTTCATTTCAGTGGAGGTTTTGCCATATGCTCCAACTCGCCCAGTTGTAGACTACTCAGTTGCATTTTTGTGGCTGATGGCTGTTGCAACAGTTATATGTGCTTCATTATGGGCAGATATAACTGCTCCCGATCAAATCGATGAACGCTACAACGAGTTGTCTCCCAAGGTTTTTCCATGCAACCCTATATCTATCTTAATCTTTAAGATATATGCTCAAATGCGATCATCTGAACTTTTCTCGTTGTTTGACGTAACTGAAGTAATTTAAGTTACTTAGTGATGCGAAGGTGTGCTTCCAGTGAGTAACAATTATTCAACAATGTTCAAATGGGACATTTGTAACCAGTAACCACAGAGTGACCTTGGCTTCCGTGCTAACTTCTAATCTACGTTTCCTTTTTTCTTTGACTGCCTTCTGTATTGCTAGCCATTGATCTTTCAGTCTGTTAACTATTAAATGAAGCCATAGAGAATGGTTTCTTCCATTCATTTTGTTTACTCGTTAATACATCTTTATGCTATATTAGTATGTAACATAAAGCTTCTTGTTTTTTTTTTCATAGAGCGCTATGTCGGAAGCAGGGAAAGACGATTCTGAGGAAATAGTTAACATAGATACAAAGGGTGCTGTCGTGTTTGTCATTACGGCATCTACTTTTCTTGTGCTACTGTTCTTCTTCATGTCGTCTTGGTTTATCTGGGTGCTGATTATACTTTTCTGCATTGGTGGTATTGAGGTAAGGTAGCTCATTTTCATAGATTTTACTCCCAACCTTCTAGCCATAAAATATCAACTAATGATGTTGAGATAACTTCTTTTTAACATACAATCCAATCCTTCCATTATTTCATTATGATAATATGGTTGCCAAATAATAATATAGGTGTCAAATGCTTGTTTTAGTTGTACTAGTATTATTTTTCTAACCAAGTAATAGGATTGAGGAGAGGGAGTAAAGTGTTTGAGAAGCCATACATCTGCATCCAGATAGGCTTTACGAAACCCAAATACATTAGATACGTATGATAACCTACACAAACCAAAGAATGTATGATAACCTAAAAATACGGTAGATCAAGGTAGAAATGGGATGTCAACCCCTCTCAGTTAAACTTCTGAACTACTTGACATAAATGTTGAACTCGATTATACAGGATTGCTTTAACTAACAAAGTGTTTAACCCGACTTTTTGAGTTTTCATTTTTTTTACGGCTTCTTTTACAGGAGAAGATAAAATATGCCACTGTAGTCAATTATGTGATACACTGTTAGAATATGATTACTTTAGCCTGTGTTTTCTTCATTCTATGGGGAGTTGGGTTATAGTTGTATTTATTTACGATATATATAACAGTTTATACATACTTCATTGTCATCTTTTATAAAATCTTCTATGTCAACTGTGTCATTGATCTTTTAATTTAATTTTTTAAAAAAATAATGAAATTGTATTGATTTATAAAGTCAACAAGGAATATTAAAGATTATTTCACATAATTTTTAGAATCTTCAAAAGAAATAATGTTCAAAAACATGTTAAAAATTATGTACTTCTAATAAAAGATAATATTGTAATATATATATATATATATATATATATATATATATATAACTTACCATACATTTATTTTACCATACAAATATTGGGTAGTGTTATTAGGTAAGTTCCCATACACTTATTTTATCATATTTCACTCTTTTAACTAACTCATTTTGATCGTATCTTATTCTATCACTAAATAGGCAAACAAAAGAATTGAATAAAACACTATTTTAAAAACGATCTTATGATTAAATGAAGGTATATAAAAGGGGCTTTTAGGGAAGCTAATTTAAGGAGTTTCTCCTTCGCCTTCTCTGTTCCAAGATCCTATACACTCCCCAATAGTTTTTAACTTAGAAACAACTTTTAATCCAAAAAAAATATGAAAGTATTACTTTTAACTTTAAAGTATCTTTTAAGAAGCAAAAAAATTCAGACCGAATGTTAAATAACTTCTTGCGTGTGCGTACCTTCCAAATATCTACTTCAGCAGGAAAGCCAACATTGGCTCCACATACTCATCCTGCAAAAAAAAAAAAGTATCTTTCACATTTTGGTGAGAAGTTCAATGGTGAGTGAAATCCGCGCTAATAAATAGGTGAATAACAGCAATATTTACAATGATTGAAAAAGTCTAGGAGTAGTCTACTTCATTAGTTTGCCCATAGCCATTGTCAGTGAACCCGGGATGGACCCATTTAGATTCACTTAGATTCACTTCTGTTGGACTAAACCTATTTATCTCGGGCTTGTTTCTGTCCGGAGTCTGTTTCGCATCGTATCTTTTTTGTACTTAGGAGGATATTTTGTTTGCCACCTAGTTGTATTTTATCTTTAAGTCTGTCTTATAAAATTCACTTATTCTTTTAAAAATACATAAGACTGTACTTCCACTCCTCCATTAACTGGTATTTTGATCTATTAGAAAGTTGAAACCACGATACCTATAAACTGTTGACAAGGATTTGATCTGTTTTTTTTTTTTCTTTTTTATTTGTTTGAAATTCCTCTTTTCGTTAATGGGAGTTTGCTTCCATTTTCAGGGGATGCACAACTGTATTGTAAGCCTCGGTTTAAGGTACAAATTAATAAATATCTTCTTTCTTCTAATGAAAAGGGAAATCAATGTTCTTTCTGCATGCTGTATATATCTTCACTTTCTCAAGTTTTTTCTCAAATATATGCGCAGGAAACGTCCAACTTGTGCTCAGAAGAATGTGAATTTACCTTTCTTTGGAGAGGTTTCTATTTTCTCGCTGATAGCGCTGCTATTCAGCGTGACATTTGCTGTTTTATGGGTTGTATTTCGGCACGAATCATTTTCATGGTTTGGCCAAGATTTTCTTGTGAGTTCCAGTATCTAGTACGTGTGCATAAGTCTTTCTATTGTTATTCTGTTTCTAAATTTAAACTTTAAGACAGTGAGGCAAACATTTTATGGTATCACGATGCTTGATATGAATGCCAATCTCTTTTCTGGATAGTTGACACTGAATACTGACTCTAATCAGAGGAGCTGAGAGAGCCTGAGAGGAACCCTAGAAATTGAAAATTGATTTTTGTAACAATGGCAGAAGTTGCTGCGGTTTCCAGCTTTTTGTCTGCCTAGTGTTGACATGTTCATTTTTATAAAAAAAATCTGCGCACATTTAATTCAGTAACTTCTCTACATATGTACATGTATGAATACTCATATCAGAGCATACGTTCAGCCACAGAAATATGATGCATATATTTTTCAACTCAATCATTGTGTAGTGAATGTGTATTCTTGTTGGGACAAAACTGGTATCTCTCTTGATTCCGTAGTGAGCTTTCTCAGACATTGCACTAAAGAGATGTCTGTTGTCTCAATTGTGGGTTTTGTCATTCATGATCAGCTATGCAACTTACTTGACATATGGCTTTATTCTTAACAGGGCATCTGTTTGATGATAACAGTATTACAGATGGCTCGGTTGCCTAATATTAAGGTACCTTAATGAGTTCCTTGTGTTTATATTATAACTGTTGTTTCTTTTCTCGTTTTATTCCAATATCTGTTGTCATCTCTCATTATTTACTTATGAATCTGATATGGTAGGTTGCAACGGTCCTACTTTGTTGTGCATTTGTATACGACATTTTTTGGGTATTCATATCTCCAGTGATATTCCAAAAGAGTGTCATGATTACAGTAAGTCTTTGTTCATACTGGTATATTTCTTTAACTTGGATTGGTGCGGTGCAGTTTGGACCTCCAATATCCCTAATCGTATACCCAAACCATCCTGTTATTTCCTTTCCCGTCATTATGTTTGTTGTCATATACAGTTTCATTCAACAACCGTCTTTCATCTTGCTGAAAATATCTAGGCTGTGATTCTCTATTCAGTTTTTAGTTTTAAAAACTATTTTATATTACTCACCATTTCACAATATTTAGGACATTTAAATTGATCTTTTTAAACTCTTTTCATTATTCAAATATTTTATTTTGAGAAGGGAAGTCAAATTTATTTTAATTTTCTTTTTGAATAAAGTATTTCAACTACTACCAAATACATCAAATTATTTAANCCTAATCGTATACCCAAACCATCCTGTTATTTCCTTTCCCGTCATTATGTTTGTTGTCATATACAGTTTCATTCAACAACCGTCTTTCATCTTGCTGAAAATATCTAGGCTGTGATTCTCTATTCAGTTTTTAGTTTTAAAAACTATTTTATATTACTCACCATTTCACAATATTTAGGACATTTAAATTGATCTTTTTAAACTCTTTTCATTATTCAAATATTTTATTTTGAGAAGGGAAGTCAAATTTATTTTAATTTTCTTTTTGAATAAAGTATTTCAACTACTACCAAATACATCAAATTATTTAAACGAACATAATATTTTGACATTTAATAAATTTTTACACTCCTCTTAATTTCACTATTTTATCATTTTTTTCTTTATAAATATAAAAGTATATTATTTTAGTGACCATATTACCTTTAAAAATAGGTTATCAAGTGAAACAATAGGTAATAATTAGAAAATATTAATATTGATGGTACTGATTAGTTGGTTTGTTGTTATTTTTAGTCAGAGTTTATCAAGAGAAAAATAAATATAGTTTACAATTACACAAGAGTACTAACAATTTAAATAAGAAAATAAGTCCTATCAATATTAATAGAAACATGTCTGCTTGTCATAAATGGAAAAGTAGACATAACAATGTTTTTGTCTTATTAACTACATCCTAATCAAAATTGAGAAGAAAACTAAAAAGGAAAAGACATGAATTTGAGAAACTAAAGAATTTCAAATTCTTTTTTTAGTTAAAATTTAAAATTCTCTAATTCTAAATAATCCAATTATTAAAAAAAAGTTTATTTTAATTTATTTTTAAGATTCTTTATAAAAACAATATATTTTATTTAGTTTTTAATTTCTAGATAAAGACTATTTTTATTGAGTGCAATCAAATAGGCCCTTAGATTCTACGTTTTTCTTTTTCTTTTTCATTCTTACCTTGTGTCTGCACTGAAAAGGTATATAGTTATGACTTTTATTTTCTAGGTTGCTCGTGGTGACAAGGCTGGTGGTGAAGCAATTCCTATGCTTTTGAGATTTCCTCGTTTAAGTGATCCTTGGGGTGGCTATGATATGATTGGATTTGGAGATATTCTCTTTCCTGGTTTGCTTGTTTCCTTTTCTCGTAGGTACTGAATCCCTTATTTAGTTAAAAACTTTAATAACTGAAGATTTATAAACTTCTTTTCAATACCGACCTTAGTTTTTCTTTTTACTTTTTAATGTACATCATAAAAGATGCCTTGTTTTCAACGTATGTTATGGCTTTCGATTGTCTCAGATTCGACAAAGATCTTAAGAAGGGGGTCGTAAGCGGATATTTTCTTTGGTTGGTAATTGGCTATGCCTTTGGTAAGTTAGTGTATAATATGATTGCGTTGAAAGATTGTTGATTTTGCTCGTATGATATGAAGTATGCTTAAAAATTAGTCTCCAACATGACATGAGTTGACATTTTCTGAGTATGTTTCCTTTTTCAGGGCTGTTCTTCACATATCTGGGGCTATATTTGATGAACGGTCATGGACAACCTGCACTCCTCTACCTTGTTCCGTGCACACTAGGTAACTAATTTTGTGGTTCTCATAATTTAGCTAGCTTATTTGGTGCCAATTTGTTTATATATGGACAGGAGTCGCTGTGGTATTGGGATGCAAAAGAGGTGAGCTAAATATCCTTTGGAATTATGAAGCAGACTCGTCTTCGTCTTCCTCCAACTCCAACAATACCTCAACGGCCGACACCAAACAGCCTCCCCAAGTTTAGATCCTCACTCACTCACTCCATTGTGTGCTAGTGGGAAGTGCTCACTGATTCATCCAAAGTCAATGAAATGCAAATGCGATTGGGTTGGGTTAGGAGAGTTTCCAGATGTACACACAATTCATTCCTTCCTGGATCTCTTCCATAACTGTAACGTAACTATCTATTCTATTCTTTCATTCTTCCTTCTTTCTTCTCCAGCTAATGCATTATAAATTCTTCTTCTTATTGTTTTTTCTTTTCGCCTTTGGATGGATGGGAAGGATGCCACAAATAACGTACGTTCTCTCACTATGCCACTACCATGGGTGGGTTAAGTTTTATTCAGTATACCCACTTAACATATAAGATCGGTAATATGATCACTTTTTTCAAACCCAGTAAACCAAATTCAATTTAAATATTACTTGTTCAATAATTTCATTACTAAAAAAAGTTACATCATATGAATACCATGTACTATAAATTCTTTTGTATTTTATAAACATTGGCAATATTTATTTTCACGTATTTTTTTAAAAATTTGTTAGAATTATTCGAAATTCAGGTTAAATTGCTAAATAAAATAAATGAATTCCATCCAACTAAAATATATTGATTTGCTTCAAATATAATTAAATTTAACTTTAAATTATTTTTTATGTCTACATTCATACAAGATTATTTTATTTTTATTAAATAAAAATATTTAAGTATTTAAGGTTTTTATTTAATATTTAATTTTTTTTCTATATTTATTTACCCAATTGACTTTTTATGTTTTTCTTAAACTTAATGTGGCTCTTTCGTTAAATTATGAGTCTGAATCATTTAATATCTATTTTTTTTTAGTTATTTTTTTCTCCCTCTACCTTCCTCCACCTTTCATAATTTTCTTTCACCTCCTATCATTTTCTGTTATCACATTTTTTTACGGTCTATGATGAATTGCCCTCTCTCACGCGATCTCCTAAATATCACAAAAAACATTCTCAAACACCTATTGTATGTCATAAATCCAAATTTCTAATAGGTAATATCCAATATAATTGAGAGAGAAAGGGAAAAGGGTAGTGGGGAAGAAAGGAAGGTAAAAAGGATGGTGAAAGGTGGACGGGGGAAAAGAGAAGAATAAAAAGAAAAAGGATGATGAAGTGATGAAAAAGGGGAGAAGTAGTGTCGAAAGTGGTTTATGGGAGTTAAAGAGAGGTGGAGGAAGGTACAAAAAGGTGAAAGACATGGAGGGAGAAAAAAACAGAAAAAATCATAGAGTTCCTATGGTAGAAAATATAATTGACATCTTACAAAAGGAGACAAGTTTTATTTGAATGGAAAGAACATGGTCACAATGGTAAGATCGACAACAAGAAAATACTAATTTTATTATTTATGAATAACTTATGTGATTTACATATGTAATTTACACAATTAGTTTGTGAAACATATATCGTTTACATGTGTAATTTGAGCCATAATTTAGTACTAAAGTGAGTTAAAGTATTTATTAAAATATAGTAAAAAATATATTTTAAAAAATTGTGAGATGGGATAAAAAAATGTTAAGATAAAAGGAAGGAAAATTGTTTTATACATTTAGTCATTACTAGGCAAAATAAAAAATTGTGTATGCGGATACCCTCAAATAAAATCTGCAACGAATAATTGGTACTTACTGGTATTTAATATCCGCAAGTTGTGGATAACAAGTATTTTAATATCATTTATAAATGGGTCACGTGCAGGTATTACATTATATGTATATGCAGTTACCCACAAAAAATAATAAAACAAATTTAATTTATATTTTATTAAGTTAAATTTAATTAAAATTAATTTGCTTTTATTAGGTTAAATTTAATTGAAATTAAATTTTAATTTATATTTAATTTATATTATATTTTATATATTTTTTGTAATTTCATTTTAAAAATTTATAAAATATATTTTTTCAAATATTTGTCAGTAACTCTGAGTATTCGTGGGTTTTAAAATATCTGTGGATATTTTTTAAATGAATATCAGCACAAGTAACGAACAGGTAGAGATGATTTAGCACATATGCATTATACGTATCCGACCTTATCCTGTCATTCCTAATTGTAGACCTTTTATTTTTTTATTACCTTTTATTTATATTTTCATAACTATTTTTTCAACTTTCATATCTTCTATTGATTTAATCTTTATTTTTTGCATTATATATATATATATATATATATATGGGTTTGCTAACGCGTATGTCTGTTTTTCAGTTGGTACATTTTAGCAATGTGTACCGGATTTTAGTAGACAAAAATACCCTTATATATCATGGATTTTTAAGTTTTAAGGTTAAGGGTATTTTAATAATTNACAATGGTAAGATCGACAACAAGAAAATACTAATTTTATTATTTATGAATAACTTATGTGATTTACATATGTAATTTACACAATTAGTTTGTGAAACATATATCGTTTACATGTGTAATTTGAGCCATAATTTAGTACTAAAGTGAGTTAAAGTATTTATTAAAATATAGTAAAAAATATATTTTAAAAAATTGTGAGATGGGATAAAAAAATGTTAAGATAAAAGGAAGGAAAATTGTTTTATACATTTAGTCATTACTAGGCAAAATAAAAAATTGTGTATGCGGATACCCTCAAATAAAATCTGCAACGAATAATTGGTACTTACTGGTATTTAATATCCGCAAGTTGTGGATAACAAGTATTTTAATATCATTTATAAATGGGTCACGTGCAGGTATTACATTATATGTATATGCAGTTACCCACAAAAAATAATAAAACAAATTTAATTTATATTTTATTAAGTTAAATTTAATTAAAATTAATTTGCTTTTATTAGGTTAAATTTAATTGAAATTAAATTTTAATTTATATTTAATTTATATTATATTTTATATATTTTTTGTAATTTCATTTTAAAAATTTATAAAATATATTTTTTCAAATATTTGTCAGTAACTCTGAGTATTCGTGGGTTTTAAAATATCTGTGGATATTTTTTAAATGAATATCAGCACAAGTAACGAACAGGTAGAGATGATTTAGCACATATGCATTATACGTATCCGACCTTATCCTGTCATTCCTAATTGTAGACCTTTTATTTTTTTATTACCTTTTATTTATATTTTCATAACTATTTTTTCAACTTTCATATCTTCTATTGATTTAATCTTTATTTTTTGCATTATATATATATATATATATATATATGTGAGGTATGTCTTTCAGTGGACATTTATGCCGTTAACAATCTATACTAATTCTCTTTCTCCCATGGTGGCTCGCTGGTCTTTCCCTTTCTTAGTCCCGTTTTCGTCCCTCCCATCTTTGCTTTACGTTTCCGTTAAGGGTAGTTTTTAATAATTTTCATTCTCAAAACTTAAAAAAAAAAAACCAACCCTTACTCTCCTTTTCTCATTCCTCTCATCCTTTCTCTTCATCTCTCTCACTCCAACCGTTTTCTGTCATTCCTGCTGTAGGCAAGCCCTCGAAAGAGGCACCGCGGAACAAAGCATTGAAAAAATCAGAACACCTACTTGCCATTATAAAAAATTTGCCTTTGTAAAGAGTTTAGTAATGACAATCCACTTTCATGCAAATTTCATGGCAAAGGGTTCATTCAAGATCTCTTCAATTTTCACCATCTTCACTAACCTCTCTAATTTCATCATCTGCATATGTTGAATCATCATCTCTAAAAAAACACCTTTGAGACCAATTTCCCACTTCTTTCGATGTCATTATTCTCGTGAAATGTAGATAAAATTATATACGACAAAATTAATAAATTAAAACTCCATTATAAAGTCATTTTTTTTGTGAACAATTAGATAAGACAATATTAAAATAAATCCAAAAGTACTGAAAAACATGTATTCGCGAGTTAGCAACCATATCTAATCTATCAATCATATATATATAATATATATATATATATATATATATATATATATATATATATATATATATATATATATTATTTTTGTGCAATATATATGTTACTAATGATTAATGATGCACACATTTATTCCAAATGTTATTTATTTCATGATAAATAAATTGGCCTTATTATTGTTAATTAATCTAAACTGGCAATTTGAAATTAAATAATAGACTTAAGTACTAATTTTTGAAACGTTTCATGTTGAAAGTTAATAAGAATCCTTATTTTTAGATACTTTATAATGTTATAAAAAATTTATAATGTTAATACTTTATTTAATTTCGATGAATTAAGTTATAGCTTATGATTTGGATAAAATAATTATTTGTGATTAAGAGTGTGGATATTAAAATTGAGGATTTTGTTTTAACTCAGATTCACGTTAAAAACGAACGTAATCCGAAATAATGCAATAATCTTCCATTATCGTGTTAGCAATTAAACTTGCGACCTTTCTTACACTGATAGTTAAATGTGACTCAGATTATATAGTATCCATGACAAGAACATGAATGCATCTGATAAGAATATTTTAGTTTGATGATAAAGAAATCTAAAACAAAAACAGTTCAGTGTTTCCAACGACATCGAAGATGAAATATATAAATAAGTATTTTATTTATGATTTAATAATTAATGAGGAGGGAATGAGAACAGTGAGAAATGAAGCTAACAGGGGACAGTTTTGCCAAGTTTGCACTTGGCGGGAAGCTGAAGGGCGAGATCGGGATCGATTTGCAGGGCAGGCAACAGAGGGGAACTCTTGAAGGCGCAGAGACACTTCAGGTCAACTAGATCTACCGCCGAGCAGCACTCTTTCGAAGGTTCCGACGGCGATGGAGGTGTCACCGCCGGCAAGCACTTCAGCAGATCCGTCGACGACACACCACACACGTTCAGGGCGTCAATGGCAGCCCCCATGAACAACACCTCCATCAGCATCACCACCGCTACCACTCTCGCATTCATCTTCGTCTTCTTCTTGTTTTTGTTCTGATGCCTCTCCCCATCCTTTTCTCTCCTATTTATAGCCTTCCATCTCTGTGCTCTGCTCAACTTCTGCATCAATCCATAGTTATGAAACGTATTCTCATATTTGACTTACAAACTAATATTTTCTAAGCGTTAATTCAAATGTTAGCACAAGTCCCACAATTCAAATGTAAGCATAGGTTCCACGTGAACTAAAAACCGAAACTTACGTAAATTTCACTAAATTTTAAGTTGGGAATTTATCTCTCTTATATAATTTTTTCATAAGAATTTATTTTCAAGAAAATTAATATATACTTAATCTGTATAATGCTCATAAGTTTTTAATTTATTTTTCTCTTTGTATTATTTTTTTACTCAATCGAAATTTA